TAGTCCACTCACAAACATATGCACCCATAAGACGTAGAGCCCCAATACTCCTATAGGATGTTTATCTCACAAAACCCTATAACTCTCTTATATCTTTTTCTCATCCGTGGACGTAAGTTGATTGGACCAAATCACGTTAAATTGTTGTCTCTTATGTGTTTGATTTATTGTTTGATTTCGCTGGTGTGATTGAATTGAAAGCTTTTAGCCCAACAAATAATATTAGAGTGGTGATGTTCCCCAACAAATGATATCAGAACTGTGATGACCCTTAACAAAAAAACACCATTAACACTTCTCATCTCCCATTGCAATTGTATTCATTTACGTCCAGGCAGTTAAAAAAAAAAAAAAAACCCTTGTTTCCTTTCCATTTGCTCTTTATTATCGAAATTCAAAATTTTCAAATCTATGTATATGAAATTATATGCTTGTTTCCAAAATTGCTTTCTAAAAAACTTCAGCGTTCTTTTAAAGTTTAAACTCAATAAGGATTATGAAAAGTTTGTCTTTTCCATTCATATCTTGTCTAATTAATAATGGAGAAGTTTTTTAATGATTGTAGTACTGGGGATATTATTATGTTTGAATTTGGCACATGGATGCTAAGCACCATTGTACTAGTGAAGTGCAACTTCTTAGTGATCAAATAAGTATTCAACAAGAACAAATTATGGCTCTGGAAGGTGTAAATTTCCCCCCTTTAATACTTTATACATGCTTCTTTTCCGTATACAAGGTCGAAATTGTTGTTGTTTTTCTTTTTTTATTATATTCAATTCATTCGCTCCGATTGTGTTACAATTTCAGAGGTGAAGACGCGAAAGAAGCAGGAGTGTGCACAACTGAAGGCTCTTGTTCAAGATCGTGAAAGTACTTTCCTATCTGAAACAAACTGTTTATGTCTTGTTGTTTCCTTCTTATTGGATTGTTACTACTATTTTATTTTGCTTGATTGCTATTATACAGTATTTCTTTAGAAGATTCTTCTACTAGGCAGACATTAAGTGATGTTCATGCCGTATGATCCGTTCAAAATTATTATCTATGTAGTTATTATGTACTTCTGTTTATTAGGGCCTTTAATTGCAAATAAATTTCATTACCATTTATAAGGTTGTTATCCATGTCATTGCATCACTCACTCAATGTGGGTCTGTAGCTAGCTCTTGAATGAAGGCTATTATACTCCTTCAGCTATGTAGTTTGGCATTTATTTCCTACTTTTTATCTAATTATTTTTGCTAAGCGTCTTTAAATATTTCTTCTAAAATGTTATTTTTTTTATTTTTGTTTTTTCACGTTTGTTTCTACCAGTCTTTTTTGTATTATTCCTTCAACTAAAGCATTTTCTTTGATTTGGCACTTGGAATCTTTTATAGACACTTAGTATTCTTTCTTTTTGGTTGCTTCAGAGAAAGGCTTTCAAAGAATAACTGGAAAAAACACAGGTTTGTGAGAAATGACTAATGAGCATTCTTATCTCCTCAAATCACCGCTTGTAATAATTGCAACCATCTTAGGGTTGAGTGTTTTAGGTACCAGTGGCAGCGATTGTCATAATGGCATGCAATCGGGCTGATTAAGTGGAAAAGACTATTGCTTCTGTCTTTAAGTATGTTGCTATTGACATGAGTTTGTTTTGATAGTTAGACTGTTTGACCAAATAGTTTGTAATTTTTAGCTGACTTACTTTGGCTTAAATCTCTGCAGGTATCAGAGCTCTGTTGCTTCAAAATATCCCCTTTTTCTATCTCAGGTATTTAGTACTTTATAATCTTATTCTTTATTTGCGATAAAAGGTATGATTTGTCTGACTTGATTGACACCATTATACTTCATGCACAAAGAACGCATAGCTGTTCTTATATAGTCATTAAAAGAAGCAAGGCTTCGAATTGTGATAGTTGCCTCTCAGGATGGATCAGATCCAAATGTTAGAAGCAAGGCTTCTAGTTGTAATTGGCTAACTTATATGTGGGTAAATTGTGTTTTTCTAGATCTCCAACTGTGTTTTTCTCCCCATTGGAAAAGTTGATTTGGATGAATCCTCTTCTTTTTTCCTGCCCCACTCATATGATTTATTATATCCCTATATCAAAACCAATCCAGTCAATGCTTACTTCAGTTTTTTCAGCACTTGGATTATGGTCTGGGGAACTGATCACATACTACAAAATTGCTCGTAAGGATTGTTCTCTTTTTTCTTCATGTTCACATGGCTTCTATAAATTTCAGATCTTAAACATTTGGTTTCTTAAGGTCACTACAAATGGGCATTGGATGAGTTGTTCTACAAGCACAATTGTGATCTGAGTACTCATACTTGAAGCTGATGTTGTCTTCTTTGGGATTTTTGTTTTGAATTTTCTTCTGTATATTTATGGAAAAAAAGAAATTGTACTGACTGAGAATCACTTTTGAAGACAGATGGTATGGAAATTGCCCTGATTTTTTCAATTACTTTGAGGCAGCTTCAGCCCTTCTTGACAAGGATAAGTATGTTACATGAATGAAATCAAGCTCTCTCTCTCTCTCTCTCTCTCTCTGTGGAGACCCACACTTGACTTGCGAGATTTTGTCTGCTTTGACCGGCACCCAAAGCATATCCTTCTTGGTTAAGTATATTGTAATTGGTCTAATTTGCACATTAGACTAATGCATATGATGTAGTTTCATCAATGAATTTTCCTTGACAAAAGATCACTTACTGGGATGACTGGTTGAGATTAAAAGAGAATCACAAAGGTTGACAATTCCTTCACCCTGAAGTATGCAGAACATATAATTTTGGTGAGCATGTATGTATGTCACCTTGCTGTTGAGAAGATTTCTTGTTTAAATGGCTGTGATAACAAATTTGTGAATGTGTTAGCTCTGATGAGAATATTTGCATGGTATACCATCCAATGGTATGCTTGTCTTTGTTGTGCATAGGAACTAGGTAGAACAATGATGCACAAAATGTTTTATGTTGAGAATTTTATGTGCAGTTATTCTGCTGCATTGCTTTTGCAAGAATGTACAATAAACATGGACGAATATAATACCTTAATGGCTTGAGTCATTTTTTTAATTAAAGAATTACCTTCTTCAAGTTTTGGAGGGACTTGTTTTCATGCTTAAATAAAAGATTTCCTCAAATTTAGGTGCATGTTCTCCTCATTAACTCAGCGTAGGCAGCTTCAGTAATTTTAAATTTCCTTCAGAAAGGGTGTTAACATTTTGTGGCTTTTTGGTAGGATCTTTACATCTCCCTTGTACAACTGTGGGTTCATTTCCTGTTTTTCAATCTTTTATTTCATTCAGGGTTCTAGCCTGGGACAGTTTTTCCGACAATATCTTGAGCCTATAAAGATGAATGACGTTAAGGTTGGCATAAAAATTGTCTATAATTCTCGTTAGAATTTAAAATTTCTGTATATTCCTGTCATCATCATCATCATAATGCTGTTGCTTTTCTGTGTGAAAGGTGGACTGGAAGTCATAGGATTTGAGCTACCTAATGGAGGTAAAATCAGTGGAACTGAAAACTGCTTTTCTCTCTGTTCTATTTTTTTTTACATTTTTCATGTATAATTGTGTTTTCTTCTTTCTAGGACAAATATAAGAAATATTTTGCTGACATTGTAAAAGAAGCGAAACCTGTCCCTGCAGCAGATGCTGTTCTCAAGGTATCTAATATAAAACGTGATGTGCGTATTCAGTATAAAGACCAATTAGACTTTGAATGCATTGCACGCCATTTTGGAGTTTTTGAAGAATGGAATGTAAAATATTTATGTGATATGTGGGATATTTTTCTTCTTTATTTGCTGAGAAAATGCTTAGAGTTTTTGGTGATAGTAGTGGCGAAATGCCTGCACTATCATATCTGGTTTCCTTAGTTGATACTTGATTCTTGGCCTTCTAGTACCACTTCAAAAATTTTTGGTGGATATGTGGTTTATTAACTGTTAAGTACCATGTGAACCTATATATTATCAATTGCATATAGTCTTTGCAACAACATTATGAAACACCATACACGACATTTGATACTGTTGAAATAACTTATCTTATTTTCATGTGCTCTATAAGCATGTAGAGCATAATAAGCATACATTCACTTTCACCTGATGCATGATAAATTAACGACCTTTAATTTAAAGAGCATTGCTGCTCTACTTTTGTTGTTGCAATACAAAGAAACCACAAAAATTTTCTCATGTCTATGATTGAATAGTTCCATTCTTCTAAAAAACTTGCATTGCTTCACTATCTAGGATGGTGTACCAAGGACAGCATATAAAGGAGTAGTGTTTTTCTGATACAAGCCACTGAAGTGTGTCTTTCTTGTTGTTCCGGACTCTCTACAGCAGCTCGGGGTTGAAAATGCTTGAAACCTAAAAGGTTAGCAACAATGTCTAGTTTTGTTTATTTCCTTTTATTATATAATCATAGCAGTCACTAAAGTTTGTATAGCACAATTATAGGAGGAATCAGTAACGACACAAAGTTTTTATTTGTTTTAGTTAAGAAGTTTGAAATTTTTACTGATAATGATTTGCATTGTAATCTTTGGTTGTGTGATCAGTGATCCTGACGAAATATTTCCAAATGAAAGGCAGAGAAACACTGGCAGACAAATTTAATTTTGAAGCAGAAGGGATTAAAGTGGGATGGAGATAAAGAGTAGCTGGTCATGCTTCTCGTCGTCCAAAAGTTCTATGGACTTGAGGAAATTTGACTTGAATACATCCGCACTGGCGCAGGCATTCTCACATCGAAATACGCACAAAAATGGCTTTTGATACGATGACTTGCTCTTTTTATCTTTCTTTTTACTTGATTGTTAGGTACTTCTTCCATGTTGGGCGTTCAAATACGAAGAAAGTGAGGAAAATTACACTGCAAAGAAGAAGCAGAGCACTGCAAATACATACGAAGATGATGTTAACGACATGCCCGGTTCAGAATTTGTGCCTTTGCCTGTTTAGTTTTAAATTTTTTTTTTTTAAAAGAATCACAGTTACGAAATCCCCATACCCATTAAATTAAAAAAAAATGAATATAAATTTTTTTCCGGAAATAAACATGATAATAAATATAATATAGAAAAACGGAGACGAAGATTAAAAATGTTATACCGACCCACGCCCATGAGACCCGTGTCATTGGGCTCTGACATCTTAGATCTAACTGTCTTTTAATAATTTAGTCGGTAAAAAGGTTCAATGTCTGTTCCATTACGAGTTGTCGTTATGGAAAGGCTTGTCCTGTTATTGGAATGAGATGGTTTTTAATACTGAACGAAGACAAACCAAGCACAAAATGAATTGCACTACTATAGGAAAGTAGAGTTGAGCCCGCTTCAATTCAACTTAACTGTTTGATGATTTCTTTTTGGTACTTTGTTTAGCCGATTCTTAAACGCAAACAAGGAAGGAGAAAATGAAAACTTAGCGATACTCTCTTCCCTCCCTTAGTAGTAGTAGTATAGGAAGAGAGGGAAGCCAACGAACACGTGAAGTTGGAAGTAGTTATCAGTAGGACAAGCCCCTTCACCACGTTGACTTCCTCTTTCACTCTCCCTCTCTTGTTTTTTCTTTCTATCAATGTGCTTACATTTTTTTCTTTTGACGCTGACATAAAACATTTACCTGCCTGCCTGCCTGCCTGCATCCCATTCACGCTTTTCTTTCTTGGATTTAGCTTCTTCCATGAAATTCCAATGACCCCAAAATTTCAAGGTATGCTTTTAATGTCTCTGCTTTCTGGGTCTTTCCTTATTGTTTCATTTTGGCCAATCTTTTCCTCTCTCTCTCTCTCTCTTTTTTTTTTTTTTGTTGATTTTGCTTTCCCTCTGTTTGTTGAAATTTCCCAATTAATTGCATTTCTCGCTTCTTCTTTTCTTAAGAATTGCGGGATTGTTGGTTACTAAGATTTTTGGGTTTTTTTTTTTTCTCGTTCATTAAAGTTGACTCGCAGGTAGATTTCTGGGGAAAGAAACCGAATTTTAAACCGAAACTCAGCTCTCTGATCCCTTTCATATGATGAGATCGGAAATGATAATTTCTTCTTGTATTTAGACTCAGCTTGAATAGTATATTTCTTGAATATTTTATTGCCTTGTTTCTTTCCTGCCAATGTCTGTTCTGATGTTGAATCTGTCAGTACTGGGATCAGTTCATTCATTTGGTAGATATTTGATAAAATGGTTAACATACTGAAATCGGTGCACTTTTCTAGATCTTGATTAAAATGCCAATCCCATTTGAAAGGTAAAATACCATGGTGTCATGAAATTGCAAACGCTGGCCGTTATCCTGTGTTCAAAATTCATGAAAGGAAATAGGTGTGTGAAAATTTCATGACCAATTTTAGTTCATTGGCTAGATGTTTTGACTTGTGAAAATCTCATCTTTATGTCTGATAACGCTTTCATGGGAGAATTGAAACTTTTCAAGCATATTGTTAGATGTGGTTGTTTTGAATTTATTATTGCAATGTCTGCTAATGAGTTTCATCTTCTTTTTTTTTTTCATTTTTCTTCTTATAAACTTCTATTGATTCTTGGGCACAAATGTGAGTGATTAAATATGTCTCCAGGAATATGTGGCTGCTGCTTTTTGTGTCAACATAGCACTTGTATATTACATGTTAAATATTTATTAACATTTATATATATATATATATGTATATTTTACACTTAAATAGTTAAATATTATTAGTTTGAAACTTCTCTTATTACGTTACATGTTAACTAGATATCTGCACCAATCCTAGTTACCGGTTATCATCCGGATGCAGTTAAGGCTAGATGCCAAACTTTACTTCATGCTCATACCAGCAATCTCTCTAAAAGAAAATTTTGATGTGCTGCAACAATCTGTTAACCAATATTTTCATGATTGGCCTTTGCAAATACTGCAGCTCCTAAACTTTTTTTTGTGTGTCAATAGGTAAGTCATTTCTATCCCCTTTGCCATTTGTGGGTTCAATATTTTGGGTGAGATTTCAGGTAAAGTCTGCTTGAAATGCTGCTGTTCACACATGATTTTGGTAGATTAAGAAACTCTTTTCATGGTCATGACAATCTTTTTTTATCCGATATTTTGGACCATTTTCAATGTGTCATCCATGCCTAAGAAGTCAGTGAATCATACTGATAGAATCGAGCAATCACTGTGAGGTTTTCACTTAAAATATCACTAATAAAGCAAATTGAGCATGTATTCCTTCTTAACTAATGTCTACTTAACATTTAGCTTTGGGAAGTTGATGTGATGGTACTTTATCCTGCATTTTTAACATTTGCATGATTTTTTTCCATCCAGGCTTCGCTAATATCTTGAAGGCCTGGAACAGCAATGAAGAAACTGCTGTCTTGTTATGAAATGCTTCCTAATAGGGATTGAAAAACCAAGCTGTTGGATAGTTGATTTGTTTGAAGACAGTTGACAATAAAGATTCCTTTATAAGAGAAAGTGAATTATGAATTGGATGAAATTCCCAAAACGATACTTAATTGTCATTTTAACCTTTGTCAGCACATGTGTTTGTTATATAGAACGTGTGGGCTTCTCCATAGCATACACAGTTGCAGCTGATGCGGCTGGGATTAACCAATCAAGCAAAGGCACTATACTTTCTACATTCTATTATGGCTATGCTTGTTCTCAGGTGCCTGGAGGATGGGCTGCTCAAAAGATTGGGGGAAGGAAGGTTCTTCTTCTCTCATTTGTATTATGGTCATCAACTTGTTTTTTGGTTCCACTAGATCCATATAGAGTCACAAGCTTGGTTGTTACACGCTTGCTTGTTGGTGTGGCACAAGGTTTCATCTTCCCTTCCATCCACACTGTCCTAGCACAGTGGGTTCCACCACATGAGAGATCAAGATCTGTTTCACTTACAACTTCTGGGATGTACCTTGGTGCAGCTATGGCAATGCTTGTCCTTCCAAGCCTGGTGAAGTTCAAAGGTCCTCAATCTGTATTTCTTACAGAAGCAGCATTAGGTGTCATGTGGTCTTTGCTCTGGTTTGAATATGCTACTGAACCCCCTCGATCCGAGCATCAGAAAGCCACTGCTGCTGGTTTTGGAGAATCATTGTTACCTAACAAAGCAAGTCAGAAGATAAAAGTGGAGAATGGAGTAAGTACTGTCAGGACTTCCAAAATCCCATGGAAGAGAATTTTAGTTAGCATGCCAGTTTGGGCAATTGTGGTAAATAATTTCACATTCCACTATGCTCTTTATGTATTGATGAACTGGCTTCCAACGTACTTTGAGCTGGGCCTCCAGCTCAGTCTTCAGGAGATGGGTTCTTCTAAAATGATGCCCTATTTCAATATGTTCATATTCTCAAATATTGGTGGGGTTCTTGCTGACCACTTGATCACCAAAAGAATAATGTCTGTGACTAAAACTAGGAAGTTCTTGAACACAGTAGGATTTATAGTTGCTTCTCTTGCATTGATGGCACTTCCAATCTTCAGAACTTCTGGTGGAGCTATTTTCTGTTCTTCCGTGGCTCTTGGTTTCTTGGCACTGGGTAGGGCTGGATTTGCAGTGAATCATATGGATATTGCACCCAGATATGCAGGAATTGTAATGGGTGTCTCTAATACAGCTGGTACACTAGCTGGGATTATTGGGGTTGATATGACTGGAAAGCTTCTTGAAACTGCTAAAGCTGAATATTCAGATCTTTCTAGTCCAGAAAGCTGGAGAGCGGTCTTTTTCATTCCTGGGTTGCTGTGCATTTTTAGTTCTTTCATATTCTTGCTATTCTCAACAGGGGAGAGGATTTTTGACTGAAGTAAGCCATGCACACTTCTATTTTTAATTGCTACAGCCCTCTGGTCAGGGGTTTCATTTGCAAATCTGTCATTGTGATTGGTGAGCTATCTGATATTAATGAATGGTACGGATATATTAAAATTCAGAAGACCATAGAAGGTCAAAAGAAATCAACACAGATCAGTAGCGATTAGAAACCATTTTTTGATTGTTAATGTGATTTAGTTGGAGCTCATGTGCTCATTTTTGTTTGCACATGGAAGGATGAAACTTTTATTACAAGCATATAGAGATGGATTTGTAATGAGGTAGTTGCTCTGAGATGGTAAAAACTTATGGTAGTATTATTGTGTAACTAGAAAAGTTTTAATTTTGCACTAATGAAATTGAATAATTATTTCTCTTTAAATATTATTATTATTATCAAAGTTTTAAAGAAAAATTATTTGGTAGGATTAGGATTGCTTTAACCTAATTATTAGGTTTCATTCAATTTAAAATCGGTAAGGGAGAATTTAATTGTCCAATGAAAAATATAATGCATATCAGAACTCAAGTCATGCAAGTCTTTAAAACTATAGTAGTAATTGTTTGATGAAAGCAGTGAATATCATGCTTCTGAGAATTAGGAATATGTATGTTGTTAGCCAAATTTTAAGTTTCTACTGTACTCTTGAATCAATTTGATGTATAGTTATTAAGGAAATACAGATTTACAACATTCGATTGTATGTATTTTTTTGGTTGAAAGGAGGTTGTAGCTAGGGAAAACATTGTGATTTGAATATTTAATTTATTAGATATCATTTTTTAAAATAATTATATAAATAAATTGAATTAATTTTTTATTTCAAACTATTAGATTGCGAGAGCATTAGACGCGAAAATTTTGATGGACTGGCTGCTAGTGGTGTTTCTACAAATTTGCTGTCAATGTTAGTGGAACACCGTCCGCCTGTCAATGTTATGCTGCGCACTTCAAAACTTCAAATCTCATTTTTCTAGCAGTATCCATGGTAGGATTTCTTTTACACAACTTGGAGGGACATTATGAAATTATTGCTTGGATGCCAACGAAACTGAACCGAAATATCTTCTTGCCAGGATAAAGTCTAAGTACCTTGCTATCCGATCAAATTTTCTTTTTCTGTATTCACGTTAAATCCAAACCACAGATCATCTGAATTACCTGTTAGTGCATGTCGGAACAAAATCTCAACTCTAATCCTGAAGCGGAAGACTGCTGAAATCCTAAAGCAATGTGGGCCAAACACACTGAAACCGTGAGTGGTTTCCATCCATTTCAATCAGCTAAAGCCACCGAGGAATTGAATAGAAGGCCCTACCATTATAATAATGAACATATGCTCCAAAATAATACTGACAAAATGAAAAATCATAAAGCCAAAAGCATTAATAGTCCCTGCTTAATTGTACCGCTTTCCAGAATTCTAAGCATTCTTCATGTTTCTGTTCCTTTCTCTCATCCGTGTCAAAAGTTGAATGATCCGTCTCAAGCAAGTTGCTTTGTTCTTTTCACGAAACAGAAAATCAAGATTGACATCGATACGAAAAGAAGAAAAAAAACCTAAATCATTACTCTCATCCATGAATCATGATCAATTAAAATAAAAAGTTTAGAACCAAAATCCCCATTATCACTTATAGCTTGGAAATCCAATTGACAGTGGCTTCCATTTAAGATCACCATCACAGTTTTACAGCCACTAACATTGTTTTCAATTCCTATGTGGTCAGTCACCATATCTCGGATGGTACATATGCTTTCCTTGAAAAAGTCTTTCTCCTAGTAAACTATGTAAATTATTAAAGACTTTTGTTGCTGAAAAGAGACTGAGAACGGAAAGGGAAACAGCGAGAGTCGCCGGAACCCAACAACATAAAAGCTAAGTTGCTCCTTTTTCTCTATCTTATAGTATTTGGATTGGACTATTGGTATAAATAACACTAAAATATATAAGGGAAAATTGCTTTTTTTCTTCTTGAGAAATTTTAAATGCACCTCAAGTTTTGATATTTACATTTCAAGAAAATTAAGTAAAATTATTTAATTATTTTTTTGACAAAATTTTTTATATTAATGGCCAGTAAATTTGCTAACTGTTGAAAAGTTTTTAAAAAATTATAAAAAAATTTTATTAGAAATTTTTATAAATTAGTATAATGAAAAAATTATTATTAAAAAAATTATAAATTTTAAAATTAATAAAAAATAAGATGATTTTATTATTTTGATTTAAAAAAATAAATTTTTTTTAAAATCTTAATTAAATATTTTATTTTTGGATATTACAGAGATGATAAAAAATTTATTAGGTTTGATCAACATTTAAAACTTAAAACTCTTAAAAATTATATAAATAATATTATTTAATATTTATAATTTTAACAAAATTTAATATTTTAATTGAAAAAATTCATTATGATTAGTAGATAAAAAGATTTTTTTAAAGAGTAATTTAATTAAAGTTATTATAAAATTTTAATAATTAATATAAAAAAATATTTATTAAAAAATAAATTTTAAATATATAAAAAAATTATATTTATTATTTTATTTTTAGTTTAATTATGATTTCATAAAATTTTATTTTTTAAAATTAAAATAATAAAATTAATTTTTTTATTAATTTTAAAATTTATAACTTTTTTTAATAATAATTTGTTTTTACACGAATTAAAAGGATAAGAAGAAAGAAAAAGAGTGTTCGTAAAAGCACACTTTTTTTTTCCTGTAGCACCCGAAAGCTTTTTTACTTGACAGTTTTCTCTTGCTCGTTTGCTGCTCTATTGATTGTTTCCATTGACGTGTTCTTTTTGAGCTCTTTGTGGTATGGTTCTTGCCTTCCTTTCATGCACTTCTTCTGAATTTGATCTCCTTGTCTTTCCTTTGAGCTTGTGGTGAGTGTTTGTTCCCTCGTGAAAATTCAGAAACCACCTCAACTTTTACATTTGCAACTTTGCTTGCTGTTGATGGGGTATTTGTTGCTTTATCCAGTTTGCTATCTTCAAGTTTCGTGCTTTCTTTGCTGTGCTTGTTGCTTTTTGTATTTTTTTTAATCAATAAAGCGTTATGCTGTTGGTTAATTAATTGTTCATTAGTTCTCCATGCCAAGAATTGAAATGGATTTGTCTTATTCTTATGTTTGACTTACTTTTTTTGGCCAATTTTATGCGACTGACTAGTAAACTAAATTTCTTTAAAATGTTTTTTGGTCTCTTTGCCTTTTGGGTTTGTTAATGTTGCTACTTGCTTGAAACTGAATGACTCTCTTTCTTTCTGTGGATAAAACGGGTTTCTGGTTAATTTTGGGTTAGCACTGTTAGTCTGCTTATCTGATTCTAATATTCGTTCAGTGTGAATTTGAGAATTCAGTTTATTCATTTTCCGTTTGTTGCATGAAGATAGAGGATCAGTGGTCAAATATGTCATTCGTTATCACCATGAACCTGGTTTTGTTGCTGTCAACTTTCATTCTCTTTATTGGAGTGTTTTCAGAAGAGACTTTGAAGCCTGATGTTGTGAATGTTGGAGCTATTTTCTCATTTAAAACTATTAATGGGAAAGTTGCAAAGGTTGCAATGAAGGCTGCTGAGAATGATATCAACTCTGATCCAAGTATTCTTGGTGGAAGGATATTGTCTATAACAATGCATGATTCTAACTTCAGCTCATTTCTTGGCGTTATTGGAGGTATATTCTTCGCTAGTCTCTTCAATCTCCCCTATTCCTAACTTTTAATTCTATATGCCCCCTTATTCCTAACTTTTAATTCTATATGCCCCCTTATTCCTAACTTTTAATTCTATATGCTTGGTTAATTTCATTCATATCCCATCACGAGACCTATGATCAATCATTACAGATATTTTCATTGGGAAATAACAATACTCATGATTTGAATTCTTTGCTATTCACAGCATTACGGTTTATGGAGACTGATAAAGTAGCAATAATTGGTCCACAACATGCTGTGATGGCCCACGTTCTATCACATCTTGTAAATGAACTCCATGTTCCACTATTGTCATTCACGGCCCTAGATCCCAGCCTATCACCTCTCCAGTACCCTTTCTTTGTTCAAACAGCACCTAGTGATGAATTCCAGATGATTGCCATTGCTGAGATAGTTAGTTATTTTGGTTGGGCTGAAATAATTGCAGTTTTTAGTGATGATGATCAGAGTCGAAATGGTATAATTACCTTGGGGGATAAACTTGCACAGAGACATTGCAGAATTTCTTATAAAGCTGCACTTCCGCCAGACCAAAAAGCAAAAAGAAGTGATGTTTTGAGAGAATTAGTTAGGGTTCAAATGATGGAATCTAGAGTAATTGTTCTGCATACTTTCTCAAAAACAGGTCTCTTGGTCTTTGAAGTGGCCAAGAGCCTAGGAATGACGGAGAAAGGATATGTGTGGATAGCTTCCACTTGGCTGTCCACTGTTCTAGATTCATTGTCCCCTCTTAAATCAGAGACAGCAAACACAATCCGAGGAGCACTTACACTTCGCCCTCATACACCTGATTCAAAAAGGAAAAGGGATTTTCTGTCACGTTGGAACCGGCTCAGTAATGGTTCCATTGGGTTTAACCCTTATGGTCTATATGCCTATGATACTGTTTGGATGGTTGCTCATGCAGTAAAGTTGTTATTAGATCAGGGCGGCACCATTACATTTTCCAACGATACAAGATTAAATGGTCTTGAAGGGAGGACTCTAAATCTTTCTGCTTTAAATGTATTTGATGGAGGGAAGCAGTTGCTTAAGAACATACTGGAGACAAATATGACTGGTCTGACAGGCCCTGTTCAGTTTAATCAAGACAGATCCCTAATAAATCCTTCGTATGACATTATTAATGTGGTTGAAACAGGGTATCGACAGATTGGATACTGGTCTAACTACTCCAGTCTTTCCATAGTGCAACCAGAGACGCTTTATAGTAAGAAGGCTAATCGTTCTAGTTCAAATCAACAATTAGACAGTGTGGTATGGCCTGGAGGAGAAACAACAAAGCCTCGAGGATGGGTTTTTCCAAACAATGGGAGAGAATTAAGAATTGGAGTTCCAAGGCGTGTTAGTTACAGAGATTTTGTCTTTCTAGTCAATGGCACGGTACAAGGATATTGCATAGATGTATTTCTTGCTGCAATTAGATTTCTGCCATATGCTGTTCCATACAGGTTCATTCCATTTGGAGATGGCCGTAGCAACCCAAGCTATCATGAGCTTGTCAGTCAAATCAATTCTGGTGTGAGTAGACTACAATGAAAAGTGCTACTGGTTCCTTAAATGATAAAATGATAGATAAAAGATAATTATTTTTCATATCCGTTCTGATATTGTGTTTCTGTAGGTCTTTGATGGCGTGGTAGGTGACATTAACATTGTGACAGACCGAACAAAAATAGTAGATTTCACTCTGCCGTATATAGAATCAGGGCTGGTTGTGGTAGCTCCAGTAAAAAAGATAAGTTCGAGTGCCTGGTCCTTCTCACGGCCATTTACTCCATTAATGTGGTCTGTCACGACAACATTTTTCCTCATTGTGGGAGCAGTTGTGTGGATCCTTGAGCATAGAATAAATGATGAATTCCGGGGCCCTCCTAAGCAGCAAATTGTCACAATTTTGTGGTGAGTACATAATCATCTGAAATTCATATTTGCATGGATGCATTAGCATATGATGTTCATAAATGAGGACAAAGCATAAAATTTAACATTTTCTCATTGCTGATCGTTATAAAATCCAATTTGTTTGAAAGTCTTCAAAACCCGAAATCTAACTACAGATGAGTAGATTCAAGTTTGACAGAGGGCCCTTCTTAATGTTAGAAGGAAATCAAGCATGATTAGAGCAGTTGCTATTAAGTTCTTATGAATCTGTATATAGTCACCATTTCATCTGTACAAGAATCATACCATATAACCATCTCTGCCTCCTCCCTTGTAATTACAAACACCAGTACCTCTTTACTTACATACCTATCCTCTGTCTAAAGGAAGAGGCTCTCCTTGAAGAGATTCCTTGTCTTTTTAATGTTTTCTTTAGCTGGAGCAATGAAAACACCTAACTAGCACAATATTACCTGATAAAATATGTCAGCTTATCTCCTTCCGTCTTGCCTTTGCCCTCTTATTATCATGATATGTTCTATTTCTTGTGAATACTTTCATCACCTCTGAATTTCGGATGTTCTTTTTACTACACTCAACATTGAGCAACAGGTACCATATATCTAAGCATTCATCCTGATTGTGAGAAATCATATGTGCAAATTTGAAATATAGACAGTTTAAAAACAACTCTGTTTTGGCTTTCTTTCCATTTGACCCACAACTTATTCATTGTCTTTCTGACTCCTCACCCGCCTCGCTCTATTTTTTCCCTTTGCAGGTTCAGCTTCTCTACAATGTTTTTTGCCCACCGTAAGTTCTTTCCATTTTGACAGTGTCACTTATTTCTACCAAGAATTTAGAACTTAGAAGTACCCCATGCCTATCATACACCAACCCTGTAGTTTTTGAAATTTTCAGGAGAAAATACAGTGAGCATGCTTGGACGCCTTGTGTTGATTATCTGGCTTTTTGTAGTTATGATAATAAACTCAAGCTACATTGCAAGCCTGACATCAATCCTCACGGTGCAACAGTTATCATCACCCATCAAAGGAATTGATACCTTAATTAGTAGCAATGAACCTATCGGCTTCCAAGTTGGGTCTTTTGCTCAAGACTATCTAATTGAGGAACGGCATATTCCAAAATCTAGACTTGTTCCACTTGGCTCACCTGAAGAATATGCCCTTGCCCTTGAGAGGAGAACAGTAGCTGCTGTAATTGATGAGCGACCATATGTCGACCTCTTCCTCTCACACAACTGTGAATTCTCAATTATAGGCCAGGAGTTTACCAAAAGCGGATGGGGATTTGTGAGTTATTCACATGAGGCTATTTCATTTTTATTTTTTTCCTCTGCATATTCAGGAAATAGTCAATTTAAAGTTGCTAGAATAACAAAATAAGAACCTGGTATATTTAAACACAGTTAAAACTATAATTTTCAACGATGTGCCTCCTCAATGAAGCATAATACCCTGGAACAGCATTCAATAGAATATAAAGAGGTTTTCTCAAGTTGTGTCTTGCATGATATTCAGATAGAGTCCTTCTTGATCTATAAAAAATTCACAATTCAAGTTATTATAGTGTCTTGATCTTCAACACCCTATCTCCATTCTTTTATGTGCAGAAAATGAACTCCACTAAATTTTTATTTTTATTTTGTTTCAGGCATTTCCTAGAGGCTCTCCATTAGCCATTGACATGTCTACTGCCATTCTTGCTCTATCTGAGAATGGTGAGCTTCAGAAGATTCATGACCAATGGCTGTCAAAAAGGCCTTGTAGTTCTGAGAGTTCTGAGGCTGATTCAGAACAGCTTGACTTACAAAGCTTCTGGGGATTATTCCTTATATGTGGAATTGCATGTATTCTCGCTCTCCTTTTGTACTTTTGGTTGATGTTTCGCCAGTTCAGCCAGCACCATCCAGAGGAACCTGATCCTACCGGTCCTGGTAGCTGCCGTTCTGCTCGTCTTCAAACATTTCTGTCATTCTTTGACGGAAAGGTAGAGAAATCCAAAAGCAGCTCAAATAGAAAACGTAAGAGTGTGTTCTCAGTTGGTTATGATAAAGAAGATGAATCGACATATACATCTGGGAGGATAGAGGGGGACATTTCCCTAGAAAGGCAGAATGGTGATACTTGCCCTATTAAATAACCAGTTCAAAAGAATCGACTTCTGCTCCTTTAGGTATACATTTTCCTCCTTTCCTCTACTCTACCGGTCCTTTTATGCTTTTCAGCTTGATTCAATCATCTATACAAAGGCATATACTTAAAATGTAACATATGTAATTATCATTCTTAAGAAATAGTGTAAAAGTAATAATGTTTCTCGACTATAATACTCCACAGCTTATAGAATTGATTACTGCAGTTCTTGAATGCAATACCCCCCCCCCCCCCCCCAAAAAAAAAAAAAACCACAACATTTTCCTACCAAGCTTGTTGCCCCATTTTGATTCTCGTGTTGGCCCTAAAAGGAAAATGCTGGAACTTTCCATTCAACTGATTAATAGCTGCTGGAGTTCCTCCCAAGTTTATGCTTGTAGAATATATAAATATATATGAGTTTGGATATCATTTTATTTGTATTTTTATATGAATGGAAAATCATATTTTGCATCATAATATGAGTCTAATTAAAAATAAATAAAAAACCATTTAAGGTGAAATTTATTTTAATTTTGATGCAAGATCTTTGTCCAACCTAGCTCCAAAAGATGTGAATGAGAACATATTATTGGAAGATCCACTGTATTTTTAAAATTCAATGGTTTCTTCAATTAGAAATGCAAAAAAATGATATAATTGTTCTAGAACAGAAGTGGTAGCTAACTTGACTGGTTTGACAATAAAATGAAAGAGGCTTGTATTGGAACTTTTTACCATCATAGTAGTTACAACAGTAAATAATTTTTAACTGATATAACTGAGAAAACAAATAAGTATACAACATTTCTCATAATAAATGAGTTTCATATTAATTCTAAAGAAATTTAAAATCAATACATTTATATATTTTTCATTGACATATCATAGAAAACTGATTTTATTTGTCTTATAAAGAAAATAGAGTTATACATAACTAGTCAATCTTTTATCTTCTTTTTGCTTAGGATTATTCTCTATTAGTGCTTTCATTGATTGAAGATAATTATAGGTCCTACTAATTGATTGCTTAATTTTTTTGTTATTTGAAAAATTATTATAAATAAATTTTTATTATATATAAATATTAAAAAACATAATTTTAAAAATTAAAATAAATAAAATAAATTTCTAACCAAGGTATGTTGTCATATTTTTTTTAAAGGAAATTTTAATTCTCAAAATGACAAATTTGTTGTGTAACTCCTATATAATTTACAATGATTTCCTTTTAAGTACTAGGAATATAAATTTTCATAAATGAATGTAATTTTGATATAAACATATTTAAAAGATTGTTTCAATAAATTTTATCTCATCTTGAAAGAATTTTATCTTTTCCTTTTAGTGATAAGTGTTCTTTTTAGAATGATTAATAGGGCTATTGAATCCAACAATCTTATTGGTATTAAGTTGAGTAAGGAATGTACCTATCTTTCTTATCTTTTATTTGCAAATGACCCTTTTATTTTTTATGCAGGCTAATATTGATAATCTTCCACTGTTGTTTGCAATTATTGGTGATTCTTTTATCCCTTATAGATTTTTGCCTAGCTTAACTCCAATATTTCAACCTTTATTAATCATCTGATTGATCACAATTTTACTAAACTTAGGACCTCTACCCACAGCATTAACAAGTTCAAAGGATCGATAAGAGCATTCTAGTGACTCCTTTGTAGCCTCTAGGTATGGAGCATTCATGGGCTGAGTTACCAGCAAGTTCTTTTCTCCAGCCATAATCACCAATTGATCCTCCATATTGAGTTTAACCTTTTGATGCAGAAAGGAAGGAACAACACCTACCATGTAAATCCATGGTTTTCCCAACAAACAATTGTAGGATGGAGAAACATCCATAACTTGAAACTTTATGTTGAAGAGATAAGATCCAATTTGCATAGGCATTTCAAATTCAATCGAAAAATTCAAACATTTAAATAAAATACTCAAATTTTTCTAAATTTCCCAGATTTTTCCAGAAAACTCTCATATTTTAGTTTTCTCCAGGGATTCCAAACAATTTTGCTTTTTACCAAACTCAAAAATTCGACTATCAACTAGTCCTAAAACAAAATCGTCCAAATAGTAGCTAAACCTAGAATCTTTCCCCTTTTCTTCCTTACCTCTCTGTGTAATTTAAGGATTCATTTGTAGGGTTTGTTTAACACAAATTTAGTGATTTAACAGTGTTAATCTATGCTTGAATTCTGGGATTTTATTGTGGTCAATGATTTCATTGATTTTGGTTTCCAATAAAGCCAATCCTCTTTGCCCAATTCGCATACAGGATTTCAACAAGCTTTTACTGATCAGTTTTCTTTTTATGAATGAAAGAAAATAAATAAATAAATAAATAATAATAATAATAATATTGGGCCAAAGACTATATTTAATGAATCACATTCTCGAACAAAAACAGGTGTCTACAGTTGCTCTTCTTTGCACAATTTCTGTGAAATAAGAGTTACGCAAAGACAAAAGACATCCATTTTATTCATGTTTGAAACTGAAGCCAAATTAAAATGAAAACAACTGAATTGAGTCAAAGTTGAAATTAATTGAGGTATACCAAAGTATAAAAGTGACGATGATCAAGACTAAGCTATGAATCATAAGATTAAATAATCTGAACTGAAACAAGACTGAGGATGATTGACCATAGTCGACCCATGAGTTAGAAAACATAACATGATATAGACCGAGCAGATATCAAAAACAAGTGATCGGGATCAAATGACGAGTCAAAAAAATAAAATGATCTGGATCAAGCTGAGATTAAAAAACAACTAGGATCGAACCGCGAGTCAAAAAAATTTTAAAATTTTTAGCTTGAAATCCCAAAGATTCACAATTTAAAAATCCAAAGATTTGAAGGATTCCACCACAGGGAGTTGAAAGATCTCAATACTCCAAGTTTCATAAAAAATTCACAAAAATTTCAAAATTTGTAAAAAGTTAAGATTTACAAAAGTTTGCAAGAATTCCAAGTTTCGCAAAAGTTTCAAGTTTGTAAAAATTTTAGGTTCGCAAGAATTTTCATCATTGTAAAGATTCACAAATTGTATCGAAAAATTCACATTTCAAAATATTTAAAGTTTCATATAAAAAATTCATGGATTCACATAAAAATTTCAACGTTCACCTCCAAAATTCAATGATTTTAATTCAAAAATTTTAGAAATTCATATCCAAAGTTTCAAAAATCTCATTCGAAACAAATTTAAGATTCATATCCAAAATTTCCTTTAAACCAAGGCTCTAGAACTTTAGAAGTTTGAAAATTTTTCCTTGTCAAAAAATAAAAGATCTTTCTCATTCGAGGAATCAAAAATAAAATATTTTCTCTCACAAAAATAAATGTCTTGCTAGTAATGCAAATGCCTTTTAAATGTAACAAATGCCCCAATCCAGATTCTTAATGTTGCAAATGCCAATGTCTTACTATAATTCAAATGTTTTTACATGATGTAAATGTATGCCCTAACAATGATGCAAATGCAATTATCACAATGTATGTAATGCAAATGTCACTAAATCAATGTCATGAAATTTTAATCATGGTAATAAGGTTTTCAAGACTCCACCATTCTGTCTTAACTTCTCAATACTAACAATCCCAAAACAAATTTTGTTAACTGATCCATGTCATTCTTCTCATCTAATCACAACTTACAGGTCATGTCAAACAATCTATCATGAAACTTATCACTATGTCACCTTGTTTGTCCCTTTTAAATAATTTTTTTAGGCTTCTTTCACTTTTTCATTTTGGGTTTCTTTCAAAAGAATGAAAAAATCTTTTACGAACATTGTCATTCATTTATTTATCATCATTTTAATTTATGATAAATATGATACATTTCTTCAATTCATCAATTGGATGTACACTTAGTAAAGAATAAGATAAATGGGTCTTCATATCGAAAAGAAATATGGTCAATAACAAATCAAAGGTGAATAAAGGTAAAATACTATGACTATTTAAATATGATATCAACATCCAAAATAATGATTGGTAAGATAATTTTGAACTCTAACTCAAAATTTTCTTTCAAAAATGCATTCCATCAATATCATCGATCTTTAAATCAATCATCACTTTTATTCTTGGATCTTCACATGAAGTTATTTTTTAAAATTTTTATCTTTACTTAAACTGCCTTTTCGGGTTTTTTATTTAAGTTTCCCTTTTTTTTTCTTTTTTGTTTGTTTGTTTTTTTTTTTTGCACACTTTTTTCTCATCTTTTCTTCTCATTTCCTTTTCCTTTAATCCATCAATGATACTTTAATCAAAATCCTAAACAATTCAATGGTAAATTTTAGTTCAATTTATGATTATCCAATTCGAGTATTCACATTCAATCAAAATAGACTTTTAAGGACATAATATAGGCTAAGGTAAGAGGTTATAAAAGAAATGGATAAAATAGGCCCAAATTATATTTGAAAGGTTATAAAACCAAGAACCATTTATTTTCATGTAGAGCACCTCGATATTTTATCCCATCATTTTCTCTTTCATTTTTTTATATTATTTTTCAAGAAAAATTTGAGCACAAAAGGGCTTTACCTCTAAAATCACTAAAGATAAACAAGCTTCTCAAATTTTACCCCTAGTGTGGGGGTGATCCTTGGTTATAGTTCCCAAAAAAATTTTTTTAACAAACTCAAATGGGGTTTGTAAAGGATAATTTTACTCATTTTGTGAAAGGTAAAAAAAAATTGTCATTTATCATTTCAAACATGATACTCTCAATGAAGAACATTTATTGACTAATAACAGACTTGTAAATAAACAATTGTAATGATCATGTATTGAATCACTTTCACCTTTCAATAAGCTAAATTTTAACTAGAGTTATCTTTTTTTATTCAGTAGTCCCAATGAATTAACAATCTCAATTTATCAATCATATTATCATGAATGATGTTTTCAAAATCAAATCCTAAATTATTATCATGACTGTTTGAACATTCATTATTTGAAATCAAATAATGGATATGAAAAAAGATATGAAAAAGTAAAAGTATATAATGGTGATTCACACAAAAGAGAAAATGTCATAAAAAGGTATCAAATCTATCACTTTTATTAAAATGATGAAAATAAAATGAAATCTAAATACATAAAAGAGATCCATATTCTCAAAAAATCCTAAAATGACAAGCAATTTCAATCAGTCTTTTCAAAATTATGCTCTTTGATGATTGGGCAAAGATTTTTTATTGATATTCA